GCGGGGAGGAGAGCTCCCTCGGACCTGGCTGTCCTGCACCAGAGAGCCGCGGCTCTGCTGTCCCTGCGAGGGAGTGGGAGCACCGCAGCGGGGACCAGAGCTGGGCCCCGAGGCGAGCAGGCGCCGGGGGGGCCCCTGCCTCCTCCGAGGAGCAGCGTGGGCTGCCCGAACAAGCCGGGTGGGAAAGGCGGCAGCGGGAGAAGCTGCAAGAAAATTCGGTCCCCCTGGATTATCGGGGCTTGCTAGCTTCATAACTGTCTCCAGAGGCCACAGGCCTAACTGCAAGTGTGATGGTGTTGGGGGAAAAAAAGCTTCACCAGGGCAGAGCAGGGGCCTTTTCAATCCGGTCATGACAAACTGCTCCAAGAAGAGAGAAGAGAGGAGGAAAAGCCTCAGGTGGTTACGGAGAGGGTGACAAAATACGGAGAACTAGAAGGCAGGGCAGAGGCAGGAACAGAGAGCCATTCACTCAGATTGGGGGGACACCATTCCCTTCACAGAAACATTAAGTTTGCATTTGTTCAGCTCAAGCAGGCCTGTACCTTCCCAGAATACGCCGTTTGTATATACCCTATAGATGAAGACAGAAGAGGGGGACTGGGTTGATAGGATTATGATGGTCACTGGCAAAGATGAGTAGACTAATCACAAGTAGTCCCAGGACTAGATTAGCAGTCTTGCTGAGTTTCTAACTGTAGCGTGTCTGGAGACCAGAGATGCCTTAGCAGAAATGCACTAGTTGAGCTAGGTACGGAGCCAAAAGGCTTGTGCTTAAAGACTGCGGGTGCATCTGGATTTAAATTTATTGCCAGAGTGGTGGAGCATGCCCATAGATGGGACAAGACAGCAAAGGCAGGTTAAAATCCAGAGCACTGGCACAGAAACCCTGAGATGCAAAGACTGGCATAGCTGAGGAGGTGGTACAGCAGGAGCAAGGAGGGTCAGTACAGGTGTGCAGGGAGTGCAGGACCCTGCAATGGCAGGGAACGATGCAGATGAGGCCTCAAATAAGAAAATGGCATTATTAAAGCTTTGGGTGGCGAGCCGGAGACTGGAATAGAAGGGACCCCAGGGTGACTTAGGCAGGCTAGAAGGAGTGCTGTGCACCAGCTTCCAGCCAGGGGTATGTAGGGACTTGCACGAATCCGGCTCTTCTTTTCTCTGAAAGACACAGGGAGAGCTCTGCACAGCCTAAATCATGACAATGTGTTTGTGTGGGCAAGAAGAGAGAAAGATCTGGGGAGATAGAATGATCTTAAATTATTTTTTCTCTCTTCTGCCTTCTACAGTGAACCTCATGCCCTGAATCTCCAAGGGAACCTTTGAAAAGGATCTTCCCCTCCTCCCCATCACGTTATTGTTTGCCAGCTCTGCCCTCTGCTGTGCAGGGAAGCTGGAAGGAGCAGACTGAGCCCTGGAGGACAGCAGAAAGGACAATGTAGTGAGGGTGCTGTGGGCTCTTGGATAGGGAACTCTCTGCATCTTCTCCCCACCCATCACTCTGCTGACAGCTGTCTGACAGCCTTGGCAGGAATCTCTACCTGGCCAAGAGCGTGGCATTTGGTGAGTGGGGGATTACACACTGTGTATGTGCCACCCTCACCGTTCCCCCAGGAACTTTCTCCTGCCTCCTATCTTCTCTAAATCTCTTTACCAGGTCCTCATTCACTAGGACACTGGGCACCAGGCAGCTGCTACTACCAAACTGTCTGGAGTCCCGGCAGTCCCTCTTTGCCTGTGGCCTTCACAAGTCCCAGGAGAAGGTGGTCCCAGAAACAGAAAGTGGCTGGGAGGCACATGAAGTAAGGAGAGCTTTTTCTTTGGGGGGACAGTGGAGGAGGGGGATAAAATAGATGGGGAGGAAAAAAAAAAAGTGAGCGCAAGCGAGTGAGGGAAGAAGCCCTGGCAAGTGTTCATGAGAGAGAGAAAAAGTGGAAGAAAGGAAAAGAAGGAGAACAAGGGAAAAAGCAGGTGGAAGGAATAGAACAAGTGAAAAAAATATAAGCTAACAAGAGGGAAAGGGTGGCCTGAAAGACAGAGTGGCAGGCTGTTCTTGCCTCCTTGCCTAGCACCTGATGACAATGCCTTGAGGATCCCCTCCAGCGTGCATACACCTTGCATCATAGCAGCAGCAGATGAGGAGAGACGTGGTTACCCCCATGTGGAGTCCCTTTCACCCTCTTACGAAACCCCAGTGGCAGAGACAGGGGGCAGCCTAGTGGGAGTGGCAGCATGGGGGACTCATCAGAGTCCACCTTGCACAACAATTCACTGTGGTGGCTAGCATGTGGGATGTTAGCCCTTTTGGCCAACTCCTGGATTATTCTCAGCATCACAGCCAAGCAACAGAAACACAAGCCCCTGGAGCTGCTACTATGCTTCCTTGCTGGGACCCACATCCTTATGGCAGCAGTGCCCCTCACCACCTATGCTGTGGTGCAGCTGCGGCGTGAGTCCTCCGACTATGACTGGAATGAAAGCATCTGCAAGGTCTTTGTCTCCACATACTACACCCTGGCTCTGGCCACCTGCTTCACAGTGGCCTCTCTCTCCTACCACCGGATGTGGATGGTGAGATGGCCAGTCAACTATCGGCTGAGCAATGCCAAGAAACAGGCTCTGCATGCAGTCATGGGTATCTGGATGGTATCATTCATCCTCTCAACCCTGCCCTCCATCGGCTGGCACAACAATGGGGAGCGCTACTATGCCCGTGGCTGCCAGTTCATTGTCAGCAAGATAGGGCTGGGCTTTGGTGTCTGCTTCAGCCTCCTGCTCCTTGGAGGAATCGTCATGGGCTTGGTGTGCGTGGGTATCACTTTCTACCAGACACTGTGGGCACACAGAAGACGCCGGCGGTGCCGCCATCAGCGGGCAGAGGAAGCGTCATCCTCCTGTTCTTCCTCAGCACACAACACTTTCAATGTGCCGGCCATTGTAGTGGAGGATGTGCGAGGCAAAAGGAGGTCTTCACTGGATGGCTCTGAGTCAGCCAAGACCTCCTTGCAGATGACCAACCTCATCAGCGCTATTGTCTTCCTGTATGACACACTCACTGGGGTGCCTATCTTGGTAAGCAGCGAGTTTTCCCTTTCCCTTCACCGAGTCCGCAGTTAAACTAGATTTCTGTCTGTCTCAAGTTTAGAGGAGAAACTCTGTCTTCTGTCTGCCAACGACAGAGTTGCCGCATCTGAATCTCTGTAGTTCTGAGGGCCAATTTTAAAAAGGTTGCAGTAATTCTCTTATTCTTCTGCAGGAACCTTTTCTTAAGACAGGTCTAAGCCTGGGGAATACGCAGCACATGGCTAAAAACACTGTGAAAGTTAGAAGCGGCTAAGAGGAGACTGGAGAGGAAATTACTCTGCATGTTTACAGGGAGATCTACATACGTAAAAATGATGATATTTTGATTTCTCTGATTTGCTTCTGGAGAAATGATACACCAGCTTTAAAAGCTGTTGCTGTCAGTTTTCTTTTTCCTTCTGCTTGTATGTTCATAGTCAGCATTCATGTTTTGGCTGGCTGGTTGATTTTCTGAACACTGGAGAGCTGAGGAAGTTCACAAAGGGAACCATTAAGAGAACAGAGGCTTAGTCACCATTCTTCAATCACCGTGTCCTTTGTTAGCACCTATTGAGCTCCAGCTCATAACGAGCACCAGGAAGAAGGGGATGACAACACCAGGTCTCATGTTGGAGAGATGACAGTTCAGAATACACTCCAGCAAACTTGGAACACGCTAGGAACAATTTTTTGAAAAGGGCATGGGGTGATTACTTGAAGAATCCTTTACTAATAGATTACATGCTACTACAGAATTGACTTGTGGTATCTTTCTCCCTTGATCCCCACTTCTGTCCTTTTGCTCTTTCATGGCCTTGATTTTCTCTCCCATCTCAAAGGTTGTGAGCTTTTTTAGCCTGCGCTATGATACGGCCCCCACCTGGATGGTTCTGGCTGTGCTCTGGTGCTCCATGGTGCAGACCCTGCTACTCCCCTCTTTCATCTGGTCCTGTGAACGCTACCGAGCTGACCTCCGCACCGTGTGGGAACAGTGTGTGGCTATCATGTCTGAGGAAGATGGAGATGATGGTGAGCCCCTCAGCACCCCACAACCACCTTTCTTCACAAACGCTGTCCCTTAAAGACTACAGAGGACAGAGTGATTCTGCCTTGGGAAAAGGACCTAATGGCACTGGGAGAGATGTGGGGGTCTAGATGGGATTCATATTATAGCTTGGAGTTGGCAACCATTAGAAAATTTGTTCTGGAGAAAGCTCTGCCATTCATATGTGCCCTAAGGACTGACTAGCATCCTGGAAAAATTAATGCAACAGCTTCACAGTAGGTATGAGAACAGAGGTGATGTGTAGCCATCAAACCACGATGAAAATGACACATCGGCCCTTAGCCCAACCCGTTGATCCAAAGGTCCACCAAAATTGTGGTGGTGAGAGATTTAAAAGCGAGACAAGAGAAACAGGGAAGCCCCTGTGTCCTTTAGCCTTGCTGGAAGCAGAAAGAAGAGGTCCTTAGTCAAAGGCAAGCCCAGAGGGCTGCGAGTAGAGTGGCAAAAATCAGACAAGCATTACAATGGTGTCCAAGTGCCCTGATAATGCTCATCTTCTAGTGGAGAAATGCTTCCTGTTGTTCTCTCCTTTGCCAACAGATGGTGTATGTGAGGATTATGGTGACAGCAGGATCTGCAAAGTGAGATTTGATGCAAATGGTGCTGCAGCTGTGAAGCGTGACTCTCGGGACATCAAGCTGCTGCCCATGCACCACATGTTGTTGCCCCAGGACAAGGTGCATTATCTCCAGGTGAGCTGAAGGGTAGCAGGGGCAGCCCCACGACCCCCTTCCTTCTCTCTCGGTTTCCCATATGCTTGTGTCCTATTGACTGTCTTCTCTCAGAAGGCCTTAGCTACACCCTCTCTGTTCTTTCTCTTTTCCAAGCCTTCCATCACCTGCTTCCTTCTCCTGTTTCCAGGTCCCTATCTCCCGGAGAATGTCACATGATGAGACTAACATCTTCTCCTCCCACCGCTCTGCTCCATCCTTCCTACACAAGTGGTCTTCATCTGATGATATCCGCATCTCCACCCCCCGCAAGCCTGGAGGCCCTGGCTTCTTGCCTCCTCAACTGCATGACTACCAGCACCGCCAGCGGCCCCCAGAAGATGAGCTGACAACCCTCCGGCAGTTTCTGGAGGGGGGGCTGATGCCCCGGGGATCCAGCTCCAGTGCCTGCTTCTTCCGAGATGATATCACCATGTTCATTGATGAGACGCCACAACCGACCCCAGCCTGCAGCCCACGGCACTCCCATCTCCTGCTCACATCCCGCCGCGATCGCCGCCTCTCACTTGGCAGCAGAGAGGAGGAGAATACTGACCGGCCGCGGCGCTGCTCGCTGGCTGGCCACGAAGCCTGGCATCTGCAGGACGGAGAGCAGGCGCCACATGAATGGACCCTTGAGGCCTGTGAGGCTCAAACCTTCCAGGATCCCAAACAATGAGAGACAACATCAGAAACATTCAGTGCCATCAAGATTTTTAAATAAAACTTCAAATGTTCCCTTATCCTGGGACCCAATTATTAATTTACATTCTTGTCTTTCTCGCCAGCAGGCAGGAAACAAGGCATCTCACAGTTGTGGGGGAAAAAGTGCGACAGATCTGCAGAACAGAGTGCTACGGATGTGGACAGTCTGTGCCTGCTCTCAGGTTATAAACACAACCACCGCTGCGACAGCCACTTGGCACCCTTGCCAGTCCCATCCCTTTGTGAACTCCACCCTCGCATTAGCTCTGCCCTAAGAGACAAGGCAGGCACAGGATGGTATTAAAATTCTATATTTGGAGTGTCAACCGTGTGTCTGTTTTTAAAATAATATATTAGTAATAATTTTGTTTCCATAGAAACAAAGTGATTGGCTTAATGTTTAATGAAGCTGCTCAGGCTTCTGGAAGGGAAATACAGAATGTGCAAGGCTGCCTCCCTGCCTCTCTCTCTCCCTTCCTTGTCAGTGCATCTGGAAGGCAGCAGATACTTAACAGCCCAGGGAAGGGAGCAGAGCCTGTATTGAGGAGTCATCATGGGATTCTGGGATAAAAGTTTTCCTCCACATCTCAGGAGAGGCTTAGGCTACCTACAGCTAAATGGGAGTGGCCTCTGTGATTTCTACTACTGCTCAACAAAAAGTATTGCTTTGAGGCAACCGTGTGCTTGAAAGAAGTTCTCCCCAGCAAGATCCTGACCCATAAAGTCTTCCTTCACCAGTGTAATTTGTTGATTCTGGTGCAAACTCTTCATGAAACAGAATGGCCCAAGCATCTCAGCAAGATATAAGGCCAGCTCAGAAGAGCTGATAGAACTTTGTGCAGGCAAGGCCCCAAGTCTGCCAGTTTCATCAGAACTGGGAACTATGATATCTGAAGCAGGTCTCCACTTTGTGCAAAAGTCTCAGAAGGGATATGCCACGTTGTTTTGTGGAAGATGGTCATTTTCCTTCCAGATGCTGGTTGTAGTTCCAACCATGAGTTAAGGGAGTAGCTGCATCAGAGGGACTGTGGAAAAGATACAGTTCTTCACCTCCAAGGCGCTTTCCCGTGAGATGGAACTTAGTCTATACACTTTGAAAGTGTAGCTCATATCCTCTGTGCATTCTGATAAATTAATTATAACCCCTTAAATGGCTTCTTTGTTGGAGGGGTCTAGTTCACATGTACTGAAGGAAGGTTTAGCTTTGGCTGATGTTGAGTGGCTGCCTGGACAGTTGATGACATCAGATAAAGAGGTGTCAGGCTCTATTGACTTACACAGGACCTACACTGGGTTGGTCTAGGCACCCCTAAAGTCATGACAGGTCCCAGCTGACACAGTAGGATCTGCTCATGAGGAGAGACACGGGGGAAGAGACTGAGCCAAGCCTTATCCCTGCCTGTTTTTTCCAAAGAAAAGTGATACAACTACACCTCACAGGCAGCTCCCAGGGGTACAGGGACACAGGGTGGTGGGTTAGAGCTGACCCCTGCAGCTATGAGCAACGAGCACCCCAAGGTCACGAGGTCATGATTATTTTATTCTGGCACATTACACGCAGCCGCTCGGTACTGCCGCTCGAGACGCCAGGGCTCAACTTCAGCTCCAGGCAGGCCAGGAATCCACTCCCCCTCTTTGTGCCCCCAATCCAAGAGCTGAGCTTGTCCCTATTGCTGGGGGGCTGGGGCGGGAGGGCGGTGCAGGCGGGGCAGGCCACACGAGCTGCCGAGACCCCTCGGGGCT